GAGGGCCACAAGATAACTAAACCCAGATTTCCATCATGATAATGGAAGACTGAAGCATCTTTGCCCTCAATCTTTGTAGCTCTGCTAGCTAAATGCAGTGGCAAATGCTTGGCGCTGTGAAAACGGCCATTGAGGGAATGAGTTGAGGACACATTAAGCTGTTGCAAAGACCCAGTGGGTATGATCTACATTGTAAGATACCCTTAAGCATCCCAGGAGCGGGACATGGGACAGCATGAGGGCAGTCCCTACGATGGAGGATGCTGAAATAGATCTTTTCGGCACATTTGATAAACATTACTAAATTTCTGGTGTGACAGAAATGTCTGCCTTAATCATAAGGCAAAATTAGATCCACTCCCAGCTCCTAGCACCTCAGAATCTATTCAGGAGAGAGATACACAACCATAGTTCAATGCGACAAGTTACAATAGAGTAAATACAAAACGGAAACACTGACCTTCCCTCCCCTCCTCCTCCATCCTCCTAAAGAAAGGATCGGGAGAAGTTATAGAAGAAAGTGACATTTACAGCCAGCTCTGGAAGGATGGAGGGGAGTTCACCAGGAAGAGAAGAGACAATGGAACAGGTCAGACAGCAGCAAAGAGGCATGAAATTGCCTGGAGAGGCAGGGAATGATGAACGCTAGTCCAGGGTGATGATCGAGTAGTCAGGGGATCGGGGACAAGACCAAAAAGGTAGTCCTGGGTTCAGCTACAATGAGTCTTCTATATCAGGCTAAAGAAAGTGACCTGTATTGTGTAGGTAATGGGGAAGCAGCAAACGGCTGTAAACAGAAAAATGGTATGTTCTGGTCTCTTTTTCATACCACCTTGGAGCTCCTAGAGGTTAAGTCAGGAGAGGGCAGGACTGGACCCAGGGAGGGTGCTTAGGAGACACAGAGATGAGAGTTAACGAGGTTTTTCTTTGGGGTAATGCACGGTGAGGATTAAAGTGACATACGTAGGAGACACTTAGGTACCAGTAATATTTTTTACCCCGATAGGAAAAAATTGACCCAATATTCACTCATCAAAGTTATGAAGTAGATATTATGTATGTACTTGGTTCCTAATGTATTCAGGATTTGGAGCAACACAGAAGTAGTAACACATTGCCCCTGCTTTGTAATGAGCTTACAGTCTGCTCGGGAACAAACTATATGTGCACGAAAAGTAAAATAATACAAGATATTGTGTCATTAAGTATCAAATGGGTGCCATAAGAAATTGGTGCAGTAACGGTTAAAAAGAGAGAGCAATCATGATTGGCTTTAATTGTCAGGAAGAAGTGAAACTGAGGTTGATCCTTAAAGAGGGGTGGAATTTGGAGATGTATGAATTCACAGACAAGACAGATGGGCAAGCAAATAAATTTCAGTGTAGTGGGATAAATGTGACAATAGAGGCATGCTTGAAGATCGCAGAGAGGGGCACAGGAATCAGAAATTTGCAATGGGGAGAAAGATTAAGAAAGGCTTCCCAGAAGACATATCGCTTGAGTTGAGTTTTAGTGAACATGTAGAAGAATAGGTAGGTAAAAAAAAAGAGAAATACCCACATATGCAAAGGCACAGAGACATTAAGAACTTGATGAGATCAGGCAAATGGCTGGGAACTGTAAATATTGCACATGGCTGGAGAGAAGGATGAGTTGGTGGAAGGACCAGGAAAGGAGCTTAAAAGAGGTAGACAGGAACCAGAAAGTAAAGGACCATCTGTGCTAATATAAGGAGTTTAAATTTTATCATGGAAGGTATCAGAGGATTTTAAATTTCAGAGTGCGGAGTGACACGATGGGGTTCGTACTTTAGAAAGAACATACTAGAAATTGTATAGGATGTCTTTGAGGTTTCTGACTGGATGGTGGTGTCATTCACTAAGGGAACACAGGAAGAGCAGATTGCGAGGAAAGATTTTGAGTTCAGTTTTGGATGTGCTGAGCTTGAAGTGCATATTATTTTCCTAAGGGATAGCATAACAAATTACCACAAACTTGGTGGCTTCACACAACAGAAATTTATTTTCTCGTAGTTCTGGAGGCCAGAAGTCAGAAATCAGCAGGGTTGGTTCCTTCTGGAGGCCCTGAGGGAGAATCTGCTCCATGCCTCTCTCCTAACTTCTGGTGACTGGTGACAAGTATTGGCACTCCTTGCCTTGTAGACACATCGCTCCGACCTCTCTCTGCCTCTGTCTTCACTCCTCAGTGTGTGTCTCTGTCCTCATATAAGGACACCAGTCACTTTTAGGGCCCGCCCTAAATCCAGGGTGATTTCATCTTGAGATTCTTAATTACATCTGCAAAGACCTTACTTCCAAATACAGTCATGTGCCATGCAATGAAGTTTCAGTCCATGACGGACTGCATATACAACGCTGGTCCCATAAGATTAGTACCATGTAGCCTAGGTGTGTAGTAGGCTATAGCATGTAGGATTGTGTAAGTACACTCCATGATGTTCGCACAATGACAAAATCGCCTAATGATACATTTATCAGAACCTATCCCTGTCATTAAGCAATGCAAAACTGTCATGTCACGTTCACAGGTCCTGGGGATTAGGACTTGGATATATCTTTTTGAGGGACACTATTCCATCCATTACAAAGTGAATGTTTTCATAATCTGACTAGTACTCTAGCCCTGGGGAGCTCTGTTTTGCACTTCTAAATGCTAATAACATGCAACAGGCAAAAGAAAACGCAGAATTAAAGGCTGTTTCATATGGTAGAAAGAGCAAAGACTTTAGTCGGATGGACCTAGGTTCAATCCTGGCTCTTTATTGTTGAAAACTTTGTTAGCCATTTATGAGCCTTGATTTCTTAATTTGTAAAATGGAGATAAAATGACCTATCTCATAAGACTGTTGGGAGAATTAAAGAGACATTGCCAGGCACACAGCTCTATCTAAATATTATTGTTTTAGAAAAAAAATCTTGAAGATAATACATTTGGGAATGACCCACATTAAAGATGTGGTCATGTGAGTGTATTGGATCTCTTTAAAGACTATAAAATTGGCATCAAGGAGAACAGTGAAGTGTCCTGTCAGAGAGATGGGGATCAGCAACTAGAAGGTGACTTTCCAGATAACCAGAGGAAAATCAGTTATTAGGTATCCCACCACCTGAGTGGGAGAGAAGCTGGCAAAATCAAGGCAGGGCTGCTTGTCTTAGAAACTGGGATATCAGGCAGGTTCTAAAACATTTATTAAATTTCATTACTATGCTACACATCAGAGATAAAAGGATGAGTAAGACATGGGCCTTCCAGATAGAGCTCTCCATCTTTTTTTTTCTTCTCCCCAAAGCCCCCCAGTACATAGTTGTATATTCTAGTTGTAGATCCTTCTGGTTGTGCTATGTGGGATGCTGCCTCAACATGGCCTGACAAGCAGTGCTAGGTCTGCGCCCTGGATTCAAACCAGCGAAACCATGCCCGCAGAGTGGAGCAGACGAACTTAACCACTCCGCCACCAGGCAAGCCCCTCTCTGTCTTTCAGATGATGTCAGACAGATAAACAAGATAAAATACAATGCAACATTAAGTGCTCCAAAGACTAGGAGCAGAGTGAAGGGACAGACCAGCAAAAACTGCCTATGGGAGCCTGGAAAGGCTTTATAGAGAATGTGACATTTGAATGGGTTCTTGGAGGATGAATAAGCGTGTGCTTGCCTGAGAAAAGGAGAAGTTTCCAAGCGGAGGAAAAAGAGGCAAAGCATAAGAACTAAGGACTACGGTACCAGAACTGGACAGAGGAAGACAGCATCAGTCAAAAGCCCAATTATCTGAATTGATAAATGCGACCACAGTCAGACTCTTAACAGAGGCTTATCACCAACTCCCGAAGCACTGGGCTGTAACTTACAGCCTTCCTAAGACGCAGATTTGTCCTAGAGATCTGGGCAGCCGTGAGCCTAGAGATGTGAGTCAAGTGGTTCTAGCATTTGGGAAAGAAGATATACAGAGACTGATGACCAGCTGGTACTGACATTAGCTAAAATCAAGTGCAAGAAGGGAAAAAGTTTATGAGATTCATTAGGCAACAGATTATCTCACTTAAACTTCACAGCAATTCTCTGACGTAAAGTATGCAGAGCAGTGAAACAATGGCTCCAGTCATCAAAAAGCAAAACTGACCTAGCTGCTAGAGAAAGACGGCTTTTGCCAGCTGCTCTCTTTGGTGGTTCTTGCTGAGTTGTGCAGCCCTAGGACCCAAAGGTACTTACTAGAAGTGGTTTCAGCTACCTAAGGAACAGTTCTTGCTTCTTGGTTGCTCTTGCCTTCACTGCGTTTTGTTGACTAAAACGGTTACTGGATTATACTGACGACAGGGACCAAGGAGTGCGTACTACTCAAGTTACTTGTACATTGGGTGGCTTCTTGGCGTGCAGTAAATATCCGTTAAATTAGGTTCCTCAAGATAGACATCGACAGCACTACCTCCAATACCTACTAAATGGAAAATCCACCCCCATACCACAGAAAATAGTATCAGACCTCATAGGCCCCCAAAGTTAAGAAGCATCCCTGAACTGATTTTATGGCCTCCTGGAGGACTCTCAGCTTTCAAGATTTTAGCTGGCTAACTGGCAACTTGTTAACCTCTGTCCACACTGTCACCACTCCAGTCCTGGTCCACGTGTACTCTCAAAAGCGCCCTTTCCCACCCTAGCCAGGGAGACCCCGGCCCCTGAAGCACGGAGGATGTCACAGCTCCGGAAAGCACCCACCTTCCGTGATGAGGACTGGAGGGGAAAGGGCGAGGCGTCCCCTGTATATCGAGGGCGCCCTTTCGGGAGAACGCAAAGGCGGCCCGAGGTAGCGTGGAATCCGCCTGCGCGGGAAAAAGCGGCCCGAGGCCACAGCTCTGCACGCAGACGGCTGGGGAGCCGACGCCCGTAGCCCCGCAGCTCGGAGCCCCACTCCCGCGAGGGTTAGGAGGGCCGGGAGCCGCAGGGCCCCCTCCCACCCCTGCCGCCAGGGCGCAGGCGCAGGCGCGCGGGTGCAGCCCCGGCGAGCGCGGCGGCGGGCGCGGGAAGATGGCGGCGGCGGCTGCGGCGGCAGCGGCTGAGCAGGTCTGTGAGCCCCGCCGCGGCGGAGGACCGGGTGACCAGGGGAGGCCGGAGTCCTGCCGTGGGGTCTACCGTAGGGCCGACGGCTGGGGGCCGGGGCGCGCGGGACGGCCGGGGCCAGGCCTCGCGGGGCGGGGCGGGAGGAGCTGTCCTCAGCCCGGGATGCTGGCAGAGGCCGGGCGGGGGCTCCTGCGCCGAGGACGGGGAACCAGCCGCGACCGTCGGCCAGGCCTGGCGGTCCCCGGGTCGGGGTGAGGAGGGGTCGCTGTCCTGAGGGGCGGGCGGCGGCCGTGGCAGCCCGGAGCCTGCGCCAGGACGTGCTGGAGGCGCGCCCGGCTCGGCGGCCGGCGAAGATGCGGGTAAAAATAACCTCATTCCCCAGCCATGAGCTCCCCTGACAGCAGCCACGAAACTATCAGCTGTTGCCTGGGTGTCAGCTTGCGGCCCCTTCTGGTTTCTGCATCCCCGATGTGCAGACATCCCGGTTTCTCCTCCCGCTTTGGTCTTTGGAGATTTAGTCACCAGTATAAAACTGTCTCCTGTCCACTTGATTTACAGTCATTTTTTTAAAAGTGCTGTATCAGTATTTCCTGATGTGCATTGTAAACTTGTAACTTAGAATAGTTTAAAAGGCGATTTTCCCCCAAAAGCAAGCTATCCATGCGCGTACATAAACATAGGCGCATACACACATATATACCTATACATACCTATAGCTACTAGGGTGATTTATCATAAAAATAACTTTCATAGTCATTTTTTCCCTTAACTATTATTTCCCTTTTAAAAAAAAACAAAACTATATGATAGTTTCTTTTGAAAAAGTCTCATTCTTCAACATTGTTGAAAAAACAAATCTGAGGAAGTTGCCAACATTCTGTTTCCAGAATATCTTTTCCGGAAAGATTTTCTTAGGTAATTAACTGCTTTTAGAGACTTGTTATATATATCGCTGGAACAGTCATTCTAAGGGGCATGAAAGATAGAAGACATGAAGTCTGCCTTCAAGGAGCTTAAAGTCCAATGTCAAATAAATGTAGAAAAATCAGCTAAAGACAACAGGTAAGCTACAGATCACAACAGTAAAATAAAATCTAAAGGAATGAGAGGAAGTGAAAGGAGACAAAGCTTCTTGGAGTTGTTGAGAATAGAATTGTTCCTTGGCTTTCCTGATTAATCAGCTCCTGTTCTAGGCGTTTCTTTTTTCATCTACATCACCTATTGATGCTCTTGAGATTCCACCAAGATTCTTTTCTTGCTTTACACATAAACCGGACAATCTGATCCATTCCTCAGTCTCTGCTTCAGAGTTAGGCATTTACTTCTCCAGCCTGAACTTAACTGAATTGTCCACAGGCGCTTCAAACTCTAAAAGGTTCAAAACTGGATTGTGTCATATTCACCATTAAAAGGGCTACAGCGCCATCCATTCACTTGGTTAATCTAGCCAGAAACCTGGGAGCTAGGCCCACTTAAGGGAGCTCAGAAGGGACCCACACTTGGTTTAATGCTCTGCTGTCCCAGGCTTGATATTTGAACAAAGGGCTCCGTATTTTCTTTTGCGCTCCAGACCCCACAAATGATGCTATTCCCTCTGCCTGGAGTGGCTTTCTCTGTGCTTTTGCCTGACTAACTCCTGTTTATCCTTCAAGATTCGACCAAAATCTCAGCTTTTCTTAAAAGCCTTTAGCTGATACCCTTGCTTACTGAGTGGAGTTGCATTCCTCCTCTGTACCCTTTCAGTATTGTGTGTATTGCTCTGCTATGGCATTTGCCGTGTTGAACTGCAATTGTTAGTGACCCTGTCTGTCTAATCTACTGGCCGGTCAGTAAGTTCCTTGACGGTGGGTGCTGTGTCTTGCTCATCTTGGTAGTCTGGAGCACCTGGCTTATATTAACTCTTCAATAAATGATAAAAGCATCAAATTGAATGTAATAGTGTACATGAATTAGCAGAGAAGAGTAGAGAATGCATCCCAGGAGGGATGAATTCTGCCCTGTCTCTCTGTTATGTAGACCTGTATTCAAACTCTGGCCAAGACTTTTCAATTGCCCATCTATCAGCGCTGCCACAAGCCCATATTAGTCCATGAAAATTAAAAGAAAGCCCACCTCCCTTAAGGTGTTTTACTGCCTTCAGCAAGAAAGCTTTTAAAATCCATATTCAACACTAAAATATCTGCAGTGTCAGTGCACCCTCCTAGATATTGCACCTCATGCAGGTACACAACCTACGCAACTGTCTTCAGCAACCTGTTTTGTGATCAAATCTGTTGAGTAGATTGAATTGTCTTTTACAGAGCCTTCCTTACTGCTTTGTGGAATTTTACAGTTTTTATCTGCCACATAACTCACAATGATTATTCCTGTCTTTTTCCATTTTCCATAAACCCTCAACCAGCCTGCTATCCCTGCCACCATGATAAGATTCTAATAGCCCTCTCCACTCTTTCTTGGCAGGTAACTTTGCCTTTTACATCCCTAGGAAAAAGAAGAAAACTTTGCCTCGGTGTGAACCATTTCAGTGAAATGGGAGCCCACCCCTTAAGACTATTCTTTTCTCCTGTATTCCATATCGCTTTCTTTCCTGCCTCCTAAAGGATCTCATTTCCCACATGATCCTGCCCTGCTCTGAGATCTTTGGCATCTCCTCTTGGTATCTTTTCCTCTGCCATCGAACATACAAGTCTTCCCCCAAATGGAGGGAGTGGGGAGAGAGAATAACAACAACAAAAAGCACAATTTTCCTCTGACAGTATATAATTCTTTAGCTACTCTTCTCTCTTTCCTCTTTTCACCTTCTGGACTCGAAAATAGATGTATACATGCTGGCATCTCTTTGGGACTGTTTCCTGCTTACCAATTTGCTACTCAGAGGTCATCTTTGAAGGTTATGGAGGAACTTCTTGACAAATCAAGTTCAGCAACACTGCACATCCTTGTTTTTTTTTTACCATTCATTGTATTTCTCATTTTCCATTGTCCCTGCACATTTAAAGTTTCTCAAGACCATATCCTTGGCTCTTTGTTCTCTTCCCTCTGTACTGTTTTTCACAGTGAACTGATGCGGTCTCATAGATTTGACTTACCCCGAGGTTGAGGACTCTCAATCTGTATTTCTAGTCCTGACTGACCTAACATCCCATCACATCCTTCCCGTTGCCTTTGAGGCATGTGGTTATTTCACATTCATTTCAAATGCAACCTATGTAGAATTCTCTCCCTTCTTCATTCCCCATGTTTAACTAGTCACCATTCAGTAAACATGAGATCCTCTTTTTGAACCTGGCTACAAATTCGGTTAACTCTTTTCCTGAAGTATCTTTTTAATTTATCCTTTTTCATCCCACCTTAGTTTAGGCCCTCGTTACCTCAAACCTCCTTTACTACAGCATCCCTAACAGCCTACTTACGGGTACAGATTTCCCCTACTATCCGAAAATTCACTTTACACCACTTTGCTTTTACAAAAGACCTACATTGGTACCTGTTTTTGCTAACCAAAAGAAATTCAAAGAGGATTTTCACTTTTATGAGAAAAGGTTAAAAGTGAAAATAGTGTTCAGCATTTATTTTGCAGTGAGCCCTTATAGAGGGAGCGCGCACCCCGAGGAGCAAAAGTGGCACTGTCAAGCTCCGTCCCTAGGAACTACACTCAGCATCTCAGCATCAAGCCACCGTACGTTTGATACGTTTGAACGGTGCCTGTGAGCATCTGTGCTTTATCTCAGTTTATTTTGGTAGGTTATTTTTTGGGGCAGGGAATGCTCAAAAATTTTTCCCATATAAATTAATGGTAATTGCTTCCTCGCTTTACACCATTTTGGCTTATGAAAGGTTTCATGGGAGCACTCTACTTTCAGATAGCGGGGAAACCTATATTCCTCTTTGCTGTCTCTCCCACAAATGCCCACACATTTAGCATTCTGAGACATATGTCATTCATATTCAGAAACCTCCAGGGACTTCCAATGAAACAGACATAAAAACTAGAATTTGTACCTATCTGTCTAAGAACTTTCGCAACCTGCTGTACTTTTCCAACTTTATTCTCCCTGCATTGCAGATCTGACCCACCTACTCCTTCTGGTTTCCCTGACAACTCCAAGCCATCTTGTCTCTCCTCCCCTTGAACTCCACAGCTTGTATTGTCTATACTATTGATTTTGGCACCTGAACATACAGAGTACTTGATTGCATTGTTAACTATTTCATGTACCCAAATCACATTTTGTATTTTCTAAAGGATAAGGATCCTGTCCTATATTTCTTTTGTATTTCTATTTATGGTATTAGTGTTTATGCATAAAATTAGGTTCATTCAATAAATGAATTTTCTCAGAGCTCTGAAAAATATGTAAGTTGGGCAGTATCCATTTCTACCCATTCCTTTTGTTGTTTGTGATGTACCAGATTATTACCTAAAATGTCATTCAACCATAGTCTAAGTCAGAGGTTCTCAAACTTTTTGGTCTCGGGTTCTCTTTATACTCTTAAAAATTACTGAGGATCCCAAAGAGCTTTGGTTTATGTGGGTTGTAGCTATTGATATTTACCATATTAGAAATTAAAACTGAGAAATTTTTTAAACACAACAATACACAAGCGCACATTTCATTTGCTATTAAAGCAGTGATGTCATAGCGTATAGTCATGTAGCCTCAGAAAACTCCACTGTACCTTCATGAAAGAAGGAGAGTAAAAAAGGAAAATAACATCTTAGTGTTATTTTGAAAATATTTTTCACCCTCCGGACCCCTGATAGGTTTCAAGGGGCCCCTCCAGGACTCTCCAGTCCATACTTTGAAACTCCTGGTCTTGTTGGAGTGATAAATAACTAAGTGTGTCAGCCTGTCCAAATTCTTTTCATATAATTGAAAAAATATATATAATTAAATCATTATAAATCGTTAATGAAAAGATTTCCCACCATAGAATGTATCTATCAACTCTTCCCGCAAATGAGCTAGCTGTACGCTTTACTGACACTAGGACTGTTCAAAGCGGAGAGTAGAAATACGTTATCAAATAGTCACAGTGAAGGTTCGTCCCTACTCTGCCTCTAAGCACGTTAATATCCTTATTCACAGCCTGCAACAAAACATGACTTGAGGTTTATTTTGGAAAATATATCACTAACCAGTTCAACTTTCTTTAGTTAGGAATTTGCACTTAATAAATAAATGCATCAAAAAGAGAGGGTATAGCTGTTCCATTGTGTTGTATTTTGTTTTTAGCAAAGTTCCAATGGACCTGTAAAGAAGTCCATGCGTGAGAAGGCTGTTGAGAGAAGGAATGTCAATAAAGAGCACAATAGTAACTTCAAAGCCGGATATATTCCGATTGATGAAGAGCGCCTCCATAAAACGGGGCTGAGGGGGAGAAAAGGCAACTTAGCCATCTGTGTGATTATCCTCTTGTTCATCCTGGCGGTTATCAATTTAATTGTGAGTATACAGTACAGAATATTTGTTTTTTATTTACCATGGGGAATTTTTCGTCTGTTTTTCAGTGAAATCATGGACTTTGTTTCTATAATTTCTTTTGGCACCCTCTTTTTGTTCTTCTATTCATGTTTCATCTCTTTACTGAGATTTAATATTTTATATGTGAAAAAACCTAGTATGCCAATATTGCCATGTATTAATTTTATTTAGAAAAAAAATGTTCATGGATTCTTCCCTTTAAAGGACTTAACTTTAAAAAGGGTAAAGTCAACTCAATAGAAGAGACCTTTGCCAAGATGATTTTATTGCCTTCACCTCTCCTAAAAAATATAGTCCTTTCTGTTTTCATTCAACTTTTTGTGCATTAGTCTTCCCTCTTCAGCTGGATTTTAAAATTGTAAAGCCTCGGATGGCAGTGAGGGCTACATTTTGTAGTGTTAAATCTCTCTTGTTACAGAATGAAAGGATGGGGTGAGCTGGTTTACATTAAGGACTGACGACCTGGTATGTTGCCTTTTCCAAAGATATTTGCTTTTTTAAAGAAGAAGACTTTTCATCCAAGGTTCTAACTATCTGGGGGTTAAATATGAAACCATCTGGCATGTGGGGGTTGTTATTTCAGAGAGTGATTATCGGTGTACCTAAGACTGATCGTGACCATGGACTACAGTGGTTCTCAAGTGATTCCATTTACTTTATTTTTGACTTCTAATACTCTCAAGCCAGTCCTTTGCATTTTATGTACATCCAAAACATTTGTGTCTAATTCTTCACTTAAATTGAAAAGAATTCTATAAATAACTTTACTAGGAAAACGTGTTCTGAATTTATTTTATAAATTTATTTTATTAGAAACTTTTGGTTAAGATGGCATAATAAAAACATTTTCTCTTAAAAAGCTCATCCCAAGATCACAATGTCAAGAAACAGATATACTTTGGGAGAAAGTGAGAGGCAACCAAAATCCTGAACCCTAATATATGAAGACGAAAAGTAGGAGGAGGAGTGGCAAATAACTTATCAGAGAAGAGAAAGTGCTTGTGTGTGTTGGGGACGGGGTTGCAGAAGGTGTTGGTGAAAGTCCTTGCAGAATCCTGAAAAGCCTCAGAAGTTGGAAGTACAGTACCTTGAAAAGCAGGAGTGAGGCGGGAACTGAAAACAGAGAGCTTGTTCGAAGAGTCTGTAGAAGGAGCCATGGGATCCGTAGCCTTCCTCTCCCTTCCAGCCAGCAGTTAAGCAGCTACCCCTCTAACCCTGCACAAAACTAGTGTGCCTCTGGACACACTGACCCGTAGGGGATTCCTGCTGCCTGAGGGTATTGCACAGAGGAGGGTAGGGATGGATGGGCTTCCACACTGAAAGCAGAGAAGTCTGCATCCTGAGCGCTGAGACCCCCTTTCGCAGGCTCCCTATCCTCATCCTCCACCTCTAGCTTCCTGGCACGAGGCTTATATCCTCCAGGCAAGAGAGAAAATAGCCTTCTCTGGAGAAACTGAAGCACCTAGAGAAAAGACCTGAAGATACTGACACTTGGCTGGTCCCAGTGAAAAAGCCACCTAATCTTCCTACTGTGAAGCCTGTCAGTCACAAGCCCCACCCCACACAGAGTACTTTCTATGGACTTTTTACAAACTCACTGTTAAATATGCGCTGCCAGGGATCAATAGATTTTTTTTTTTTTTTTGGAGAGCTCCAAGAATTGAAAAATGATAGAGACCCAAAATACCCAAACCATGGGGGAAGTAGGAATTCAGGGAGATAGAGAAAATGCAACGAATGACAGAAAACTTAAAAAAAAATTTTTAAATCGATATCTTCAGAGAAATAAAAGGATATTGCATCCATGAAACAAGGATAACATGCCAATAAAAAGGAGCTATTCAAGAATAAGGAAGAACTTATGGAAATACAAGCACAGGAATGGATGGGTAGATAGATAGATAGGATGATAGAAAGATAGATATTGGAAGATAACAAAAAAGGAACTCCTCCAGAAAGTTCAACAGAATTAAAGAATCAATCCAGGAATTGTAACATTCTGTTAAGAGGAGTTTCAGAAAGAGAGAAGAGAGTTCTTCTCTCATTCTGGGAAGAAAGTTATCAAATAATATAAATCAAGAAAACTGCCTAGAACAAATTGAAAACTACCATTCTGGGTCCAGTGTAATGCATACAAACTCACACCAAGGCCATTACTGTGAAATTTAGGAAAACTGGGGATAAAGCAAAGACCCTAAAATCCTCCAGAGGGAAAAAAGGTTATGCATAAAGGGTACAAAATCAGTGGCATCGGACCTCTCAAAAGCAGCACTGGAAATCAGAAGACAAGAAAGCAAGGGCCTCCAAAATTCACAGAAAAAGTAATTTCAAGTCTAGAAATGTGTACCAAGATAGACTATCAGTCAAATGTGAGAGGTATAAAGATACTTTTTAGCCATGTACACTCTCAAAAAAATCTACTTCACATACATGCTTTCTAAGGAAGCCACTGGAGGATGTGCTCTACCAAAGGAAGGTACTGAGCCAAGAAAGTTGAAGATAAGGATACAGGAAACTGGGTATCTAGTGTGGGAGAACGACAAAAGGAAGTTCCAGCGTGGACGTGAAGGAGGAGTTCATGATTACAGCTGTGTAGTAGTCCAGATGGCGCAAAAAGAGAGGAGTTCCAGAAAGATTTCCTGGGAGAGAAAAGTAGAACTAATAAATTATCTGAGAGGCTTGGATTTTTAAAACACTTTATTAAGAGACATTTGATAGAAATGTTGGAAGGTTTGAAAAGATTTAGTCAGATTTCCAAAGAAACTAAGCAAATGAAAGACAGACAAATAGTAAACTCCAAAAGACACAAAGTACAGGAAAGGAACTGCCGTCATAGTGCAGTATTTGGCTTAGCAGTGACCAATATTTATATGGTCATAATAATGAAAATACGGCACATGGATTTAACCAAAACTTGAGATTGGAGTTGGGGTGAAGAAGTATAAATGAGCTAAAATTGTCATCTGCTAAAATAGAAATTTAATAGATAAAACCTAAAATTCATGAGTGAAGAAATATATACACATATTTGGAAACATGGAGATAAATTCTGGACAAAATAAGCTAGAAGTTTTGAAAGTGGTTTTCCCTGGATGAAAAATGGTGGGAGTAAAAGAAATAAGAAACTGCTCTTCTTTTTATTGTAGACCTTTTAGCACTTTTTGACTTTTAGCTAGTTGCATACCTTGATAAAAAATAAAATTGATTTTGTTTACAAGTAGAAAACCAACTGCTATGTCCATCTCACTGATGAAACATTTAAGAGGTTTAATTCTTTGGCGATTATCTTTTCTATTTGTTTTCCAATGATGTTACATGTATGCTACCTATCAACAGTGGGCTTGTTTTCTTTTTTAGATAACGCTTGTTATCTGGGCTGTGATTCGCATTGGACCAAATGGCTGTGACAGCATGGAGTTTCATGAAACTGGTCTACTTCGCTTTAAACAAGTATCTGACATGGGAGTTATACGTCCTCTTTATAAGAGCACAGTAGGAGGAAGGCGAAATGAGAATTTGGTCATCACTGGCAATAACCAGCCTGTAAGTTACCACATTAATTGAGGAACATTAGAGAAAAATTCTTTGATAAAACCTAAAGTTGATTATTGGAAATGGATATTTTCCTTTAGAGAAAATTCATAAGTATATTTAATAATATTGTTGGTATTATAATCTATTAATATTAGATGCTTTCTTAATATTCTGGATCTTCTTCCATGGTAGCATTTTCTGTGATAGATAAAATTACTATAAGAATACATAGTTTACTCTTTTCTCCTCCATATGAGGAGACCATTTAAAAAAGCACCTTCCCGGGTTAGAATACCCTCTACTTTCTGGGAGTCTGGAGGAGAATATGCCAATCTAGTGTTGGGAGCTCATGCCTAGCAGCTGCTGTGACTTAGGTTTTCAACTGACTAGAACCTCAAGGAGGTATTACTGCCACCTGCCCATCTTAGGCCTAGGTCCATGTGTCCTGTGACCCTTGTCCTTGTGCAGAGCAGTATAAGCAAATAAGCAAATGAGCCTTCGTTTTCCAAAGTGGGTGGAGGAAGGACAGACAGACACAGTTAAAATTATTTGAAGTTAGTCTATTGTTATAGAGTGTTTTTTATAATGTTCTTGATCAATTTTGGATGCTGTCTTCTTTGAAAACATATTCATAATAAAATGTTTCTCTGAAGATTGTTTTTCAGCAAGGGACAACAAAGCTCAGTGTAGAAAAGAACAAAACTTCTATTACAAGTGACATTGGTATGCAGTTTTTCGACCCAAGGACTCAAAATATCTTATTCAGCACAGACTATGAAACTCATGAGTTTCATTTGCCGAGTGGAGTGAAGAGTTTGAATGTTCAAAAAGCATCTACTGAAAGGGTATGATTTATTTTCTTTGTTTTATTAATGGAAGAGAATTGTTGTCTAAAGTTACAAAGGGAGAGAGGAGTTTTACTGATTTATAGTGGTATGCAAGAATAAATTTCAGAACAGTGGAAAAGATTACTTCTAGATTTGTCATTAACTACTACCTTATGTGATCATTATCAAGGCATCTCTCTTGACCTCAACATCTATAAAATGTAATTGAAGACACTTTCCTTTCATATTTCCTGGTTGAAACTCCTATTCCTCTAGCTCTAATAATAATTCTCACTTTAATTTAGAAACTATTTTCACCGCTTTTTTTTTTATTTTCAGATTACCAGCAATGCTACTAGTGATTTAAATATAAAAGTTGATGGACGTGCTATTGTGCGTGGAAACGAAGGAGTATTCATTATGGGAAAAACCATTGAATTTCACATGGCTGGTAACATGGAATTAAAGGCAGTGAGTATTTTTTAAGAGTTTAAGAGAATTATTAGATTCTTGGGTATATAAATCCATATATGGAATAGTATGGAATTATTAAAAATGGTAATGTAGTTGTATAATTTTTGACATGGAAAGATGTTCAAAATGGATTGTGAAGTGAAAGAAAGTTACAAAACAACTTGTGAAATGTCTCATTTTTAGTTTTCAGAATATTTGTATGTTTATAAACACCTGGAAGGGTATGTCAAAATGTCAACAATGGCTGGCTATGGGTAGTAGGATAACAAATGATTTTAATTTTTTTATTTTTGCTTGCCTGTTAGTTTCTAAAAAATTCTTTTTCTTTTTTGCATAATGATATCTGTATTATTTTAAAAAGCAAAAAAAAAAAAAACCTTCCAAAAGAGAATTCTGGAAGATGAAAGTAGGTATCCATTCCCTGAAGTTGTTGGGTCTTTTTTCAGTTAAATATTTTCATATCCCTTCCTGGATGTTATATCCGGTAATGTGAAAATCAATTAGCAAAGGTATAAAATGTATTTTTATTTATACATCTATTATTAATTGTAAAGGGAAAAGATTTTGCCTTTATCGTAGCTGTTAAAAAGTGAAATTTTCTTTGTGCTTCACAGATTATATCTGAACTTTAATAGATAAAATATTTCTTATAAGGGAGCCATAAGTCCAGAAGCATTTTACCTGCTCACAATTCTGGTCAAAGCACATTTATTCAGAATGTCTTTGGGTCCCAGCTATGTACTACTTAACTAAAGCTAATTAAATTTGTTTTATCAAGCAGTAAATAGCAAAAGTGAACTTAAACCTAAGGACTTACAAAATAATTTTTTCCTTTTTTTAAAATTCAATTTCATAGTTCTTAGAAAAAATAAAGTTTAAAAAATTAAATTCTTTCACTTTTATAAACAGCTTTTCCTCCCCAAAGCACATCTTCCAATCTCTAAATAATAAAGATGAAGATAAAACGTGATTCTTGCCAGAAACTCAATAGTAATACTGAGTGTTTTTTAGCTGTATTGTAGTAAGAAGCCATTCCTCTAAGCATAGTGTTGGAGAATGTTATGGTGGGACTGTTGTTCTCTGCACTAGAAACTCAAAGAAGCAAGAGATGTGTTAGATATTTATATAGCCATTAGCGAGTTACCTAAATCTTTTATTTTTTCCACCTGAAAATTCTACCTGTCATTAATATGACAAATATTAAAATACTTTGAAATACACATACACATATACCAATTTCTCCACGGTTAAAGAAAAAGAAGCCAGTATTGAAAAGATAGTTAGCTTTATAATTCAGTTAATATCAGCGGTTAGTTTTTAAGTCCACAGCTAATCATTAGAATTTTATCAATTAAACTGCTTTTAAGAAAAAAGAGAGTAAAATTAAATGACCACAAGATGGCAGCATTGGAACAAAATTCGAAAATTCATCACAGGAATGATAGTTATTCCATATACTATCACTACATAGTCCATTAGCCATTTCCATGACTTCATAACCAACTTTCTTTCATTGCTTTAAATACCCTCTGTAAGTTGATGACTCTCAAGTTTGGAACTCCTGCTTTAATCTTCTCTGAACTAAGATTCACATACACAACTGCCTTCTTACCTTCTCCCCTTCATTATCTCATAGGCATCTCAAACTAAATGTCTAAAATCTTCATATCCTCCCTCCTTCTTCAAACATGCATTTCTCTCAGTGTCCCAGTCTTGTTAAATGGCACCCATCAGTCCATTAGCAAAGCCTTCTGGCTCTCCCTTCAGAAGATGCACAGAATCTGGCTGCTCCTCAGCACTTCCAGCACCACCGCCACCACCACTGTGGTGTAAAGCACCGTCATTTCCTGCCTGCACTGTTGGAACAGCCTCCTAGGTGGTCTCCCTGCTGCTGCTTTCACCGCTGTGGTCAGTTCTCTACAGCAGCCAGAGTGATCCTTTATAAAAGATCACGTCACTTCCCTCTTCAGAACCCTCCAAATGTCTTCCCATCTAATTCCAAACAAAACCCAGAGTCCATTCCCTGGCCTTACATCTGGCCCTAGTTATTTCTTTGACTTGTCTCCTACCAGTCGACCCCCTCCGTCTCTGCTTCAGCCATGCTGCCCTCCTGTCTGCTCCTGGAACACCAAGCACATCTTCGCCTTGGGGCCTTTGTGTATTATGTCCTCTCCCTGGAGTGCCTGTCCCAGGTTACCCACATGGCTTACTTCTTCGCATCATCCAGTTTCCGTTAGCCTGTAACCTTATCAGCAAGGCCTTCTCTGACCACCCTGTGTAAAGTAGAACTCCTGCCTGGTCACCCTCTGTCTATGTACCCTGACTTCTTCCTCTCAGATGATGTCCTATTTTGTTTACCTGTTCATGAGTTCGTTGCCTATCCCTCCCCATTAAAATATCAACGGTGAGAACTTGGACTTTGCTTGTCTGTTGTCTGCTGTATCCTCAGCACCTAGAATAGTACCTAACACATAGTAGACATTTAATGGTATTTGTTGAATGAATGAGAAGAAGAAAAGCTAAGAAGGAGGGAGGAAAGGAGAGAGAGGTTTAGGCCTTCCTAAAAAGAACAGGCCTACAATACAAGAATGTTCTGGGAACAGTGGGCTTGAAGAAGAGAGCCTCCAGGCAGTTTCCTTTGAATGCCTGGTCTTCAAAATTATATGGCTCAAATCTTCATTTGTAGTGTTGCAAAAACATTGGAGGTTAAAATTGATTTTCTCTGAGAGAAAAAGTCTTTTTCTTCTCATTGTCCAAAACTCATCAATCAGTAACTTTATTAGAACTCTCTTAGGAAGTAACAAGTGAAAATGATCTGAGACTTTATCAACATAAGTCTTATTGTGCACTTAGGAATTTTGATGTAATTTTAACTAATTGAGAGATAAATTGTGTCACAAGTGTATTGATATACATAGTAAACTATTACTAAGAGATCACTAGTTGAATCTTGACATTGGTTTTGTTTTCTTTGTTGTCTTGGTCATGACTTTACTCTTTCTTTTCTTGTTAATATTCCAGTAAGTTTTCTTTATTAACTTTGTTCAATTCCCACTTGTGGAGGTAAATAAATCATATTGTTGTTCTCCTAATAGGAAAACAGCATCATCCTAAATGGAACTGTGATGGTTAACACAACTCGCCTCCCCAGTTCCTCCAGTGGAGACCAGTTTGGTTCTGGCGACTGGGTGCGCTACAAGCTCTGTGTGTGTGCTGATGGAACTCTCTTCAAAGTACCAGTAACAGGCCAGAACATGGGCTGCCAGATCTCAGACAACCCCTGTGGAAACACTCATTAGAAGAACCCGAGAGGTTATCAATGTGTTCCTATCTTGACTTGACTTTTTTTTTAAAGGATATGCATGCAAATCATATTTTTACAGAGTTTGTGATAACTTATAATTATTTTATCTGCAGAGCACTGCTGTGTCTGTTATATAATCTCCATATTTAAAATATTCTCAGAGATCCTAAATTCTAATACATTTCATTAAGTTGCACTGAGCTTCAAATTATAGTCTCTAAAATAATTATCAGAAGTGAATAAAATCAAAATTAATATTTAAAGAAGTGGTTTTTTAAATTCCTCTATTCCTTGTCTAAAGGATGGAGGGCTGAAGCAACTGTTCAGACTCACTATAAGCAAGTTTTTGGTAACTAATGGGGATAGACCCACTGAAGATTTTTAAAAGGTACACTGTTAGTAAATGTTACATGCTCTGTCTCCTGGTTTCTGAGAGGAAAGACAGATTTTTATATATATATATATATATAATATTGCTTTCCTTTTTTTTTTTTTTTGGCTGAGAAAGATTTGCCCTGAGCTAACATCTGTTGCTAATCTTCCTCTCTTTTTTTCCCCCCTGCCAAAGCCCCAGTACATAGTTGTATATTCTAGTTCTAAGTGCTTCTAATTCTTCTATGTGAGCCACCTCCATAGTATGGCTCCTGATAGACAGGTGGTGTGGTTTACCTGGGAAGCAGGCCCAGGCTCCCGAAGAGGAATGCACCAAACTTTAACTGCTAGGCCATCGATGCTGGCTCAGGAAAGATAGATTTTTAGTGTGTTAACTTTCAGCCCAATTCTCACACACAAGTGAAATCATTAAAGACTTCACGTATGTGAGATAGTAAGAAACTATGGTTCCTTAGGTTTGCACTAGGAGGAAAACACTCTGTAACAGGATGTTTACTCGTTAAATATTGATAAATATTAAGTGTTCACAATGTGGTAGAAATTAAAACACCATCTCAGCTTTAACTTCTAAATAATGATGCTAGCTGTCATTTATTGAGCATCTTATACATCCGAGGCATTGTCCTAGGCATTACATGTGTGATGTCTCTAATTCTCACCACAACTCTGTAAGTAGGTCTTATTATCCCAGTTTTACCTGTTAGGAAACTGAGGATCAGAGAAGTTAAGAAATTTGCCTAATGTCACACAGGAAAAGCAGGGTTGGGATTGGAATTCAGGTGTGGTTCAAACCTATATGTACCTGCTTGCAAATACCATGTTCTTTTCACTATCTGCACTGAAGTTTTAATTATATGAAACTCTAGAAAGATGAAGAAAGACTAATTCAAACTTGCCTAAGCAAATAAGAATCAAACAAAACAGGTATGCTTAGTCTAGTTAAAAAATAATACTAAATCAATCTCATGTCAAAAAAATATGACCAATCACTGTCAGATTTTAAACTATCTTAAGCCAATTCCAACATATGGTACTATTGAGAGATCAAATTACCCTAGTTGTGGGTTACCCTGGTTTCCCAACAGGTGGGCTTTGGCACCTTGGAGTACCTGGCTGGGTGAAAGGGTTGCCAAGATATACTCTCAGTCTTCAGGGCAACACAGTGGGAAGTGGGGAGGCCATGGCCCCAGGTAAGTCCTGCTGGCCAGGAATGGCCTGGTGGGTTCCCCCCAGTGTGCCATGCAAATATTACCCTTTCTGATGTGTGCCATACCTTGAAAAAAGTTGGGAAGCACTGGACTAAAGGGTGCTAATGCAGGAAATAATACAAGTAATGTTTAAGTATGAGAATTGATCTCTGCTGCTAATATCACTATCCCATTGTAATGATTTACGACCCTCAAGCCAGTTGATTTTTAATGTATTTTATATTTGACTTGAAAGGAACTCTCTGGTATCATTAAGACACACACATCAGGGACAGAGACTTCAAAGTACCTTGCTGTAAAGTAGGCAGTAGAGATAAATCATAGGCCCCACTCTGCATCCAAGTGTATCGTGTTCTGTCATGGTCACTTTGAACTGTGTAGATGAGAAAATCAGTACAAGACAAATTTGTATTCAATATTGTCACAGTTCTCCCTGACATAAAAACCAAATGCTTGGACATTAGGAATAGTCATTAAAGTATACCAAAATAGATTGACTTACTATATAATACTGAGTACAGTTTTTAAATGAAGGAAAAAAAAGTGAAATGTATGACCTCTGAGTGTTATTAGTTGTAGTGATATCAGAATCTATTTGAATATATTCAGTATTATTTAATATCTGAATGATATTCAGAAAAAATCTGTTGGAATTTTCATTCAGATACTGAGTATATTTTTAAATTTTGTATTCATTACTTGTTTGTCCTATTTAGATTTGTTTTGAAGGTTTCTTTGATATGTATTTTTACAAAAACCACAGAACACTATGTTCAAAGTATTATTTATTGAATGTAATTCATGAAATAATCTATTTTTACTCCTCTTTGAGAAATATTTGTTTTTGATACATTTCCATTAAGTGCTTTTGACATGAGAGGCTATTTTGATGTTTTTATAGAACTGATCATTAAGGTAACAGGTACAGGATTTTAGGACAGTTTACAGGCAGCCCTGGCCTTTTCACTGACTTGTAGACCTGGAAAGCAGAACAAGAACAAACAGTCCATTTTACCTGTGACCTATTTTACATAACAGTAAAGCATCAGCTACTCATTCTCACCACCAGATGGTGTTTTTCTACAAACTGAAATGTTAACTTTGCCTCTTTCTGCTGGTTATTTCTCCTGTGTGTTGAGCACTGATATGACAAGCAGCAGACTTTGGGGAGGTAGATGACAGACAGGATCCCAGGAGAGTAGGGCGGATATGTGCTTGTTTAAATAACTGCAATACCTTAGAGGTGAATTGCAGTGACAGGGGACAGATTAAATGAAAACAGGATATTTTAGAAATGAGCAGATAGGAAAAATGCCAAACACCACAAAGTGAGGACTGCCTATATATGGTCTGCAGTATTTAAAAATATACTTATTTGTATTATTTTGTGTTATGAAAAAATAAATTTTGTGTGATAGTTTTGATGATGAAAGGTGGAAGTTCTACCTAGTTTTGAATGCGTTTTTTTTAAGAGGGTGAGAATGTTATGGTGCTAAACTTGACAAAAAAGAGACCGTTAAAATGTTGATAATTTTAGTAATCTTTTTTAAAGTGTTGAGGGGGCAAAGATTGCAAATTATGCCATGCAAAAATAAACCTGTAAATCTGTTTCAGGTTACTAATTTGAGTTTTGGTTAATTCAGTTTGTAATACCTATTAATGAACTCTGTTTACAATAAAGATTCTCTAAATTGTTTGCTGTTAATTTTTCAATGATTAAAATATTAGCAGGTTACTACTTAATCATAGAAACATGATGAATTTAAATATAGCCTGAGACTGGGATACAGTATTTAAGTGATCTCTCTGGAATGCTGGAGTTCAAAGTCAGAAGTGGTGCAGTCCGGGTCTGGATGGTCCTAATCTCTGTGCACTGCAGGAGGCCTCTCTCCAGTGGCTCTTCCCCCCTTGTCCCAGGGCTGTCACTGAGGCAAGAGGCCAGAGCCCGGAGAGGAAAGGGTTGAAGGTTTACCACAGCACATGCTCCATGGGCACATGGGTGGAGCCTCAAAAGCTCAGCTCTCAAATGCCCACCTGGCTTGATCCAGATAGAGACCCATTTGAAAACTATCTAAGGATCTGAAGGTATGCCTCAGAAACAGTGTGACTGTTGTGTTCTTTTCACATCTGATCAAAAAGAGCCTCTTCTGCTTTTTTTCTTCTGGTTGTTTTAACTTCTCTTTCTTTTATATAAGAATGGACTCTTTATTTCCTTTCGGCTTTTTCTACTGCCTTCTCCCTAGCTCTCTTATTCTCTGACACGTATGCTCACTCCCAATATTTCTAAGTGCTTCCTCATACTTCAGCTTGAATATGTCCATTTAAAGATTTGCATGTTACCTAATTGTTTCCAGTTTCCTCAGAAAATGTTTCTGGAGTTCTTGAGGGTTTCTTACCTAATACATATAAGTTTATATGTGGTACGTATAATTTTTCTCTACAAATTACTACTTTTCACTTTAAAATGTAAGATTATACTTATCTAGCTGTTTTGAACTCAAATCTATTAGTTAATGTATAAATCTCTTTAACTTAGAAAGAACCAGGTCAGTGAAAATCTTTAACTTATGTCCTCTTAAGTATTTTTCAACCATGTTTCTCTTCAATACTGCAAAGTAATGTACCTGTGAATGGTATCTGAATCAATCTGTGTCTGTTTTAAACTCCCCAAAAGATTGTAAACTACCAGAGGGTAAAGGCCATGTTTTCCATGTGATATATATTTTCCCCCCATGTTTTATATTTTTAATAGTCTGCAATTTGTCACAGGGCTATGACATTGCTGATATTGTTACATTAGCGTGGTATACAATTGTATATTTAATGATTGCAGCTTTGAATACAATCCATGCATCACTTAACGATGGGGATGCATTCTGAGAAATGCATTGTTAGGTCATTTTGTCATTGTGCGGACATCATATGGTATATTTAAACAAACCTGGATGGTATGGCCCATGACACACCTAGGCTCTACGGTACTAATCTTATGGGATCACCATTATATGTGTGGTCTGTCATTAACCAAGACCTCATTATGCAACACATGACTGTATAGAAACAAATATCTGTCTGACTGTACAAATTAATTCAATGTCTGGTATTGCATAAGAGGCACACTACAAAAATAAATCACTCCTCCATGCTGCAAGGGCACCTTTGCAGTTCACAGGCACGTGTACCTGAATTTAGATGCCCTTCAAAATATGGGAGAATTGACCTTGTATGAAACCTGAGTTTAAAAAGTTACATGGTAAGTTTCATTCACTCTGTGCATTCATTCGTCCAAACAGAGCATAGCCCTGTGACAGACTGCAGACTATTAAAAATATAAAACATGGGGACAAAGTATATATATATAAATTTATCTTGCATGGAAAACATGGCCCTTCTGAAGCTTATCTTTTGGGGAGTGTAAAACAGACATAAAGCAATAGCAACACAGGATAGTATTGATATTCTGTCAAACTGAATGTTACTAATGCACATTCATTCACTCACTCAATAAATATCTCCTGAAAGATTTCTGAAAACATAAAGACAAAATAGAGGCTAAAGCAGGAAAAAGGGTCTTCAAGCCATAGGATTTGAGATGGGTCTGGAAGGATATGTAGGATTTGGACTGAGGAGAGGAAAAGGCATTGAGCTTGGAATTGGGAATGAGCTAAGAGCTAATTTTAGCATGAGATGTGCATAGGTACTGCTGTGCACAAGCCACATCTTGTGGTTGCTCCACATGTACTTATCAGACAAGTTCATGAGGTTAGCTTTCAAAGCCTTGAATGCCAACCTGAGGGATGTGGACTACAGGCACTAAGGAGCCCTTAGAGGATTTTGAATGAGGGAATGACATGAGGAAAACAGTACTGTGGGGAAACAACCCTTTGGAATCTTGTAGGATGAATCAAGAAAAAGGAAAATCAGGAGGCAGTGGCAGGAAAAATAGTTCAGCCAGGTTAACTAGGATTTCAGATGAGAACTAGACTGGTGCCGTTAGAACAGAATGGAGGGATGATTTGTTGTAAATCTATCTACTGAATAATGTACACACACTGGTTTTTTAAATGGAATTTAGTTTAATTAAATCACAAAAATTATCCATTTATTTTTCTTAAAAAAAAGTTTTTTTGTATACATTTAGCCATTGTGATTTGTAGATATTTGTTTTGAAACTTTGAATTGTTTCTCAAGAATCTTTCTGAAAAAGATACTTGATGTCTCTGTATCTTTTTACATCTTCATGGTTCTGAGGCCGAGCATCCTTTTTATAACCCCTTTTATGTTGTATATATCTAAATGATTTCAAAAGGATTTGAAAAGTCACAAAGACAAAGCTTGTAGTTCTTCTAGTCTTTTAAAAAAATTAAGTCTCTTGTGAGTTGAACTTTTCACCCATACAGTTCCACAGTTTAGTGTAACTGGATGGCCTGTCATTCACGTAATGAATCACACGGCTGATTAGGGTGTTGTAGATAAGCAGAATAGACTTTGCTCAGTACTCATGACCAACAAGGAAGCAGAGAAGTCTTTAATCTAATCTTGGTAGGTTTGCCTCACTCCAAAGCAGACTGCTGGGCGAATGATCCTGGAAAAGCAGACACAGAGGTGAGGCCAAGTGAATATGTATTTTCTGAAAAATGAGACGAGTTCTTCCTTTAAAATACGATATAGATGTAATTTTATACTGTAGCTATACCATTTTGGTAGCTACATTTTGATGTCCTAAATTCTAAGAAATAAAACATTTACTTAAATTGGCAATCAAGGCAAGATAACTTTCCTAAATCTTGAATTGAAAATTAAATTTTCTGCTTATTTGCTGTTGTTTTTACATGTTATTTTGAATAAGTCAATTCATTTTCCTTTCTCCAGGCATTATGAAAAACCCGTGTTTCCGAATCGTTACCATAGTTGTAGGTCTTTATGTTACTCAAACAATGACAAACTCATCAAGAAAAAGTAATATTTTATTCAATTCTAAATGCCAGTGGAATGGATATCTTCTGACAAACTGTTCTTTTACTCAAAAGCATGAGATACCTGTGGACATATCACAGACAGCAGCTACAGTGGATGCAAGTTCCAGTTTCTTTAGGGCTCTCTTACAGTCTCACACAAAAAAAGAAGAATGGAATATAAAACATCTGGACCTCAGTAACAACCTCATATCAAAAATAACCTTAAGCCCTCTTGCTCCTGTCCATGCTTTGGAAACATTAAACCTGAGCAACAATGCCATCTGCTCCATCTCATTGGATCTACCCAGTCTTAGGTCCTCATGGGTGAAACGGCACAGAGGCGGCTTCAGAAATGGGCTTCCATTTCTAAAGTTGCTAATTCTTCAAAGAAATAAACTCAGTGACATTCCCAAGGGTAAGTACGATTTTAAAAGATGGACTAGACCAAGAAACAATGAGCATGTGGAGAGTTAATGTTTAATGTCAGTAAGAATTCCATGTTTGTTTTCAGTTTCAAGAAAACAGCTGAAAGTAAAACAATTTGATGAGGGCAATATAATAAAAGGAGTTTCTTAATGGAATTTGAAGTTATAATATGTGGAATTTATAGTCAATGCAATTTAATCTCCCATTACTATCAGTTACATTAATGTTACATGGATTTGTCGATAGACTCTAGGACGTATTTAAGTGCTAAATAATAATGCATGATTTTAAATTACCCACTTTTATCATATATTTGTTACTAAGTATAGAAAAGCACTAAGAAATAACTAATTCAGATACTTTTAATATGTCACACAATTCATATTAAATGTTAATGTATTTATGGTTTCTGTTTTCTTAGAATACATTTTGCATCTACTTATCTAGTTGTCCTCCAAATGTAGACTAGAAATACTATGCTAATATTATATATTAGCATGTAAACTTTCTTCTTATCAAGTCAAAATCAGAATTCCTTATCCTGGTTTCTAACAGGATCTTCCACATATCCTCCTATTATAATAAATTCTCATTCATTCTGACATTCAATAATCTAAATGTTGGAGTTCCTTAACTAATCCCCAATGTTTTATTTATTTATTTTTTATTTATTTGTTTTAAAAATTGGCACCTGAGCTAAAAACTGTTGCCAGTCTTTTTTTTTTTTTCTGCTTTTTCTCATTAGCATGGCCTAATGAGTGGTGCCATGTCCACGCCCAAGATCCGAACCGGTGAAACCCTGGGCTGCCGAAGCCGAGTATGTGAACTTAACCTCTCAGCCACGGGGTTGGCCCCCACCAATGTTTTATTTAGAAAATGTATCAGGTTCATAAGCCAGAGCTTCCTTTGCCCTTCTTATATTCAGGAGTGCTAGACAATTTCCTTTCTTTGTTTGTTTTTAGTCTTGGTCACTATTTGCTAAGTACTTTATGTAAGACACTATGCTAAAAAAGAAAGTGTAAGGATATTGTCATTTTTCTCCATCCCAAATTATGTATATTTAGTTTTTCTCATTTTCCAGTTCTTTCACATTTTTATTTTTTTGCTCTTTCTCCAGCTTCTGGTCTTGTTTTAAGCATCATTTTGACAATAATAGACTGGCAGGTGAAGGAATGACTATCCCAGTCACCATATTAGCAGAATTGTGTGAGAAGGAGAGAAGTCTTCTCTCCCTGACCTTTTCCATAAAAGCAGTGTGTAGTATTTTCAGGGTAGAGTGTAAACTAATTGGATTTTATAATTTTTATGGTATTGTTCTTATTATAAAAGGAGTACCTGTTATTTGTAGAACATTAGGAATTAAAGAAAAATCTAAAGGAAAAATTATAGTCCCTCAGGTAGGGGGCCGGCCCGTGGCAGTTAAGTTCGTGCGCTCTGCTTTGGCGGCCCAGGGTTTCACTGGTTCGGATACTAGGCACGGACATGGCGCCGCTCATCAGGCCATGTTGAGGCGGTGTCCCACATGCCACAACTAGAAGGACCCACAACTAAAATATATAACTATGTACTGGGGGGATTGGGGAGAAAAAGCAAAAAAGAAAAAGGTCCCCCATGTAATATATATATTCTCCAAGTTTATTCTTTATGCCTATGTATATATTTCTTCCAAAATTGGATCATACTTTCCACACTACTTCATAATATGTTTTCATAACAGACTATTTTGAACATCTTTATATAATTAAGCAATCTCATAAATAATGTTTTAAATACTTGAATAGTTTTCATATATACATATATTATGATTGGCTTAATCAAACAACATTTAGATTATTTCCATTTTGTTTGCTATAATTCTTTAATGAACATCATTATAGCTACACATATCCATATGATATAACATATTTTTAACTAGTATGGTAGGGGTGAATCTCAACCCACAAATTCAAGTGTACTAGAGATCTAACCTTCTATTGTCTATAACTCAACATCATTTCTGCTTCTGAGCACCCATTCTACTAGGGTCAGTTGTGAGTGGGGTGTAGGGGTACTTTCAATCAATCTTTCATGGACTCTCCTCTAACTCTTCCCAGATTAGTACCACAGCGCTAGAATCATATACCCTGACAAAGCATCAAAGTCTGTGTGTGTGTGTGTGTGTGTTTGTATCCCTTACCCCTGCTAGCCAGAGAATATTTCTTTTCAGTCTTTTCAGTTTGGAGAAAATTCTTGCCCCTTTTTGTTTCTTCAAAACCCTGTGTCTAGTTCTAGAAATTCCTTTCCTCTAAAGATTTAGGCCTTTGGAAACAAAAGCCAGAAAGACTAGTAGACTCCTCTGCTTTCTGCCTTGCAATATGCCTCCCCCGGGACAATCAACACAGAGCCTACTTTCAGCTTGAATGGAGAAAAAGGGAACGAGGAAAATAGAAGTAAAATATTCAATGTCAAAATACTATCCCACCACAAGAGCAAATAGAGAAATGCTGAGCATATCTCCTTAAGACAGATGAATTCCCCAGAGCTAATTGGAGATTAGGGCAACTGCAATTCCATTTGAGGACCAAATATCCCTATAAAATGTAGATATAGCCCCACTTTCCTTTTCCAAGTTAAACTTCTGCCTCCCAAAATATCAGGAGAAATGTTAAACTTGCAAAGGAGAAAAAAAAAAAAAAAGGAAGTGAAATGAGCAAATCTTGTATCTGAAATTCTATTCGAATTCTAGCAAATGAAACCATAGAGAGATGGATGAAACGGATAGGTGATGGAAGTCCAATGGAATTGGATATAACTCCGAGTTCTTTTATCCATAGCATTTTGTGATTTGAATTATTCTCCTGTAATCATCATACATTTCCATTTTTACTAAGCTGAGTCTCCTTTAACATGCCTTCCCCTTTTATGACTCTGTGACTGGGTAACTCTGACTTTGAAATCCCACTTTGGAGGGAGGAAGCTGGGAAGAGAAGGGTGCTGCCTGGAGTGTCAGGCTATCTCTGACCTTTCCTTTGTTCTTTTGATTCCTTTATTCTAAGCCTCTTTAAAGGTAACATCTGGGTAATGTAATATTGACTCATAGAATTGTTGTGAGGATTAAAGGAAAAATGTACCTCAGGAGCCTCACTTCTTAACACAGTATTTGGCATAATAAATGGTAGCTATTAAAATATATGAAAAGTACTTTGTAAGCTTGTAAAGTAGTTTGCAAATATTCATTATTATTATTCTCTTGGCACAAATTGAGAATAGCAGTCTAGTTAGAAACAAATAAATTTGCTTTTGTCTGAATCTCAAGTTATCTTTTAAAATGTTGAATAACTGTTACAGTAGATGAGACTCCGAGCCCACTATAATTCACGAACAGAGAATCAGTTGTGTCTAACTGTTTATACAGGTGTTTATTCTCATCTAAAATAGTAATAAATTAGAGATATTTCAGAAAGCAGCCACCAAGCAACTGGCCTTGTAGCACAAGTCTGCCTTTATAAATCACATCCCACATGTCTTAAAATGGTGACAGTTTACAGAGCCAACAAACAGTTGCGTTCACTCAGGAAAGCCCACTTTTGGTAAGGGTGAAATATCACATTGACTAACCCAAAGACAGCTGATCCCCTGTCTTCAGAATCAGCTGTGACGTCACCAATGAGCTCCATATTGGGGAAACACCCAGAGGAGGTGCCAGCCAATGCAATTTACAAAACAGAAGCTAGCCATGAATTTAACCTTAACAATCATTCCTCTTTCCTCCCATGCTTTTGTAGTGCAACGTTAATAAGAGAAAAATCAGTTTTAAAAAATGTAAAGCAATGGGATGGGTCTCCAGTTAGACTATCCCACCCTCATCAAGCAGTATTTTCGGAGTGCTCACAGAGTACCTGGAAATATCTCAGGACCAACATTTTGTTGGGATTCCAGTTAGGGTGACAGGCCAGATGTGACAGCCTGACATTAACACACTAAATTCCAGAACCCAAGAGATAAATTTGTTAGAAACAAGATGAAATAATACCTGACTTTTGAAACTGGTGAAGTAAGGAGAACATAATCGATATATTGTAAAAACAAATGTATTCTTTTCACTCGTAGGGAATTAAACATTTCATCCTGATTGCTACTGGATTATGGAAATACCAATAACCAGTGTTCTCAAAGCCAATTCAGCTTCTAAAATAACAAAGTGAATGTCTGTCACTAAGCTAAGAGGGCAAGGTCTTTGGCTCACCTGTATAAATTTGACAACATTAAGGGCTGACCTTATGAATCAAATATCTTATCTAAGACCATTCCAGACTCTATTCCAATTCTTTTTTTTTAAGTTAGCTTTTTTTTTTTTTTGAGGAAGATTAGCCCTGAGTTAACATCTGCTGCCAATCCTCCTCTTTTTGCTGAGGAAGACTGGCCCTGAGCTAACATCCATGCCCATCTTCCTCTAGTTTCTGTGTGGGACACCTACCACAGCATGGCTTGCCAACCGGTGTCATGTCTGCACCCGGGATCCAAATGGGCAAACCCCGGGCCACTGAAGCGGAACATGCAAACTTAACCACTGTGCCACCAGGCCAACCCCAACCAATTCTTAATACTCTTTGAACTTAAAGCCATAACCCTTGAATATCACTTATGTTATCAGGTCATCACACTTAGGAGAGCATTTAAGAAGTTCATAGTCCAAAGGAATATTTCTAAGGTCGTGTAATGTCTGGGCATACCCTCTGTGGGTTTATTGTAATAGACACTGAGATAATTTCTTGGAAATAATAAAACTGCCTCTGGCCGCTTAAATGCAAAAGCTAATCAAATTCCTGCCTCCCGTGGCCTATGTGATCATCAGAAAGCAGTTCAATAACTAATTCCGTCTCCACAAAAATGCCTCCATATTTTCCTCCCAACATTCAACTCTCCTCTCTGGAGACATGGAATCTACCCTCTGATGTCCAAACCCCAGCTGTTAATGCACCTCCTGACCTCTTTCACTCACCTGAGTAC